CACTCACACACATATACGCACACACATATACGCACACTCACATGCACATACATCCCAGACAAACAGAGTAATAAATAAAATTAGAGGATATTTGGCTTCAAAAGCTAATTTTTTATATGGTAATTTGTATATAAATGGAGTATTTTAGAAACTAGGTCATTTCAGCAGAGGCCTCCTAAACAATTTTGCTAATATAAAGTACCCACAGTGGCTTAGATGTGTTTACTGTTTGTTTTTCTATTGTAATACAATAGCATATCCCCTTGTCTGCAAGAGGCAATGTCTATAATATAGCACATGATGACATGATGGATACTTAGTAACACAGATGTGTTGAATATGTCAAATATATTCAATATATCAAAGATGTGTTGAGTATGTCAAATATAGTGTCAAAATATCTAAAAATTAATCAGAAAGGCTGTAAAGGTGACAAACTGGTGTCTTCCTATAGGATATATAAATAAACGGGTTCCAAAAGTTTGGCATAGTCGAAGTTAAAAATATATCTGCTCCTTGTAAGCTTTTTAATATATTCTTGATGCTACTATCATTTTACTGACCTCGGATTAAAGAAAATGTGGTCAACACTTAAGTCTCAAAATGAAAACAAGATTGGTTTTCTTGTGTTGTGACATCATTTATGTTTTATAAAAGGTTCCCAACATTCCCAACATTATTCATGAGCTACATGGAAATGTTATGTAGGAGGAGCTAAGGTGGGAGGAGTTAGGAGAGGAAGAAGAAAAGGAGGAGGAGGAGCTGGAGAGAGCAGAAATATAGGAGGATGGAAAGCCATGCAGGTATGCAGAGCGGTGCGGGTAACTACTTTTATTTAGGTTAGCTAATTGGGAAACAACTCTCTGTATGGGCATATTATTATTGAGCTTTACCAAACATATAAAGCCTTTGATTAATCTATAAGAATTAGAATCTCATTCTCTTACTGGGCCCGCGTGGATGGTGGGATGGTCTGGGCTATGCCCAGCCTTGCGGAGACAGCGTGGAAGATTGGCAGAGCCATCTCTCATGCTGGTGTCTGATGGGTGGCAGGGTGGTGTTTCTGGCGGGCTGGTTCTAGCTGTTGCGTGCACGTGGCCTCTGGCCGAGAAACATGGCAGCTGGGCTAGGCAGAGCCGCTGCAGCTTAATCAGATGAACCAGAGGCCAGTTTTAAATAATCACCACAACAATGTTACATATATCATATCACCTTAAAGTCACAGTAGCATTCTTTTTTTGTTTGTTTTGTTTTGTTTTGTTTTTCGTGACAGGGTTTCTCTGTGTAGCCCTGGCTGTCCTGGAACTCATTGTGTAGACCTGGCTAGCCTCAAACTCTCGAACTCAGAAATCCGCCTGCCTCTGCCTCCCAAGTGCTGGGATTAAAGGTGTGCACCACCACCACCCGGCTCACAGTACCATTCTTAACACTGACGTTTTCCTTTTTAGTTTTGCAAAGATACTGAATGACAGAACTAGTAGGTTTCTAATAGGTCCTCTGTCTTCACCTACTGTGATCACAGCACTGACCTACTGTGCTCACTGCACTGCCCTTCTGTGCTCACAACACTGCCCTACTGTGCTCACAGCACTGTGCAACTCTCCTTACATTTAACACAGGCCCTTTCCATCTCTTTCCTCTGTGTTATCTTGGTGTTTTCATTATTTATAGTTATTGCTACAAGAATGCGTGCCATAAATGCACTTAACTCTTCAGTTGATTTAGCGTTAGTCAAGCATCAGAAACTAAACTGAGTTTCCAGTCTCCAGTTTTACATCTATTCTTTTCTTTGAACCTTTCCTTCCTGAAAGCCAATACCCGGCCTTCCAGATTGTGTAATGATTTCACAAATTATCTTTTTCTTCTTCCTCAGATATTTTACAAATACACAGCTTTCATTTTATGGTTCAACATACACAAATCGATAAGTGAAATAAACCAGATAAATGGACTTAAAAACAAAAATCAGGACACCGCGCCACACCCCACACCTCTGCATGCTTCCCAGATGTCAAAAAAAAAAAAAAAAAGAAGACAAGAAACATGAAAAACTTAAAGGCAAACTTAAATTGCTAGATTCCCTGTTCTGTTGAAAGTAAAGGCACCATGGAAAATGGTTGCTATAATAACAAATTGAATCTATTAAATACTTATTTGGATATTATAAAAATCATGTTAGTACAATTTTAAAAATCACAGCGAATTACATTTATCCAAATAATCACTGACCAAATTTCAAATTTCTTCTATTATTGGAAACCTAATGCAATTTCTTTTGGGCTCCGTATTTTTCTACCATTAGACCGCAAAGTAGTTACCAGTCCTTCTGATTACTTACCAATTTGACAAGTGTTTTCAGCCTGCTCGTAATCCTGTTTCTGCCAACTAACTTTCCATGTACTGACATGGCATCCATACCACTAGTGAACATTCAGAATAAACCAAAAACAAACTTAGGCCAAGGAAAGTAACTCCGCAGAGGAGCAATTTACCCTGGTATCACAACTGTTCTCTTCACCCTTCATTGCAAGCACGGGAGTCTCGGGGCTAGGACAACTGGAGATCCTGCGGAGCAAAGCAAGCAGTAAGAACGGGTGAGCATGGTTCTGTACAAGTTCAGCTGCTTGCATATGAAACGACACTTCTTCGCCGGAGTGAATACGACGTGACCTCTTACTGAACAATGGCTCTCAACTCAAAATATCAAGGTCAGTCTCCTGAAGAATTTTTAAATCTGTACAAAAGTCAAACTAAACATTAGTTCTATGTGTGGATAAGCAGAATGTCCTTCCCCAAAAGACTGGATACTTTAAATTTTTAAATTCCAATTATTTCCCAGTCCTCTTGCATTTTTCGTGTTTACATAAAGAATCAAACACTTAAGAACTTTCAAAAGTCCCCAGACACACGAGGGGAAAGACTTCTGTAAAACCAGTCTCCCGTTGTCGGCACTCTTCCTCCGGATCCTCTAGAACTACTTTTTGCGGTTGACTTCCAGTTCTACTTCCGCAGGACTCAAGGAGAATCTCCAGAATTAATATCTCCAGCCCGGGAATATCCTAAGTAAAGATGCATTCAAAGCATCAAGCTAAGCAGAGCTTCAACTATCCACACAGCCATTTTACTACTACCCAACAGAGCCTTGGGGACTTCAGTGCCAGGAGATCCTAAACCGGTCCTGCTCACCATCCAGGTTCAGCAAAGCTGGAGGGAGAAACCCGCCTCAGCCACAGGCACACCTTGTTCCTCAACTTCTAACGCCCTGGTGCTTGGTGGGCCCTAAGGCATCTTGTAAGTTGAGGTGACATAAATAGTTATCTAAGTTTAGCTGTTACAGAGACTGACCCCCGCAATGGCTCAAATTATTCTACGGACATTCAACAGAAGTGCTGATGTCTTTCCATTCCTCCGAGCAAACAAACAAGCAGCATCTTTATCAAGACTGCCATGGGTGTTTCACGTTTATGTGCAGGCACGTTTTAATGGGCCTGCATATAAACGTTCAATATCTTGGGTCCTTAATCCCTGTCTTCTTCTTACCAAATTTATTAAATATGCCTGCATTCCAGTCTTTTCTCTAAAACCACTTTTCTATTGAAACCAGTCTCCTCCTGCTTATCCATGTCATCTGTTTGTTAACAGCATTCTATCATCATCATCATCATCATCATCATCATTCACTTTACGTCCTGATGGCAGCCCCCTATCTCCTCCCAGTCTCACTCTCTGTTAACACCATTCTTTTCCTCCACTCTCTTAATTTTATTCTTATCCTGTGCCAGTGCAATTACTGGGCTCCCTTCCCAGTTACTTTATTAAAATATCCATCTATAGAATCAAGCATAAGATGACAATTGGCCTGAATACTAAGGCCCGTGAGTCTAACATCATCTGTGCCCTGTGCCACTTTTTTGTCCATCCAGGGAATTCACATTCACATCTTTGGAGTTTTCAGTTCTCCATCTGGATGAAGTACAGGAGTATATTTTGATTGGTTCTTTGATTCCTTCAAATTCTAAAAATTCTTAATGCTTTTTAATCTTCTCTGCAGGAAAACAGAATATTTCGCTGGCAGCAATTTTACAAACAGGACAAACGAGAGGGAAACCAGAAAAGCTGATTTACAGAAAAAAAAAATTATCATCACACACAAAAAAAAGCCAAGAGTAGATAAAATAAAATGTCATTTGAGTAAGTATGCATAGAAGCTTAAAGGAAAAACAAAATGAAAAATTAGTAATCAGAATAAAATTTCCAAATATCTTCTTCAAAGTATTAAATACAATATAGATCATATGCTCAGCACACAAATACGCTTCATTGCCAGAAGAGAAAATTCTCTCTTGAAGTTGTTCCTGTGGCCCTAAGTCCACGTATGTAAGGGACGCAGACAACTGTTGGTACTCAAGACATGGTTACCGACTAACACTGCAATTATCAAAGTTCTCAGACAAATGTGTGTGGTATAGCTGTACTTCCCAATAAAATCCCAAAGGAGCTCATCTATAAATTCGGCTTTCAAGATTGATCTGACATAGACCTTATCTAGCTCTCGAGGGCTACATGGGTCCTCGTCAACCTGTGGATAATGGAGAGAATGGATTGGGCAGCCAGCAAGATGGCAGTCAAAGCATGAATGGGCGACTCTCGGTTGCAGCTGCCTAGTTAGTGAGAAACAAACAGTGATGATAACAACAGTATTTGAACTGTAAAATGTGGTGCCTCCCATGGAGGAATGCTAACTAGATGCTTCTTTCTCTTCTGTCCACTCAATACTTTCATGACAAACAGATTTTATCAGCGTGTAAGACTTACTTGGCTAATGAGTCATTTCCAGCATCTATTTGTTCTGCTAAAGAAAGACATAAAAATGCACTTTAAACCAATGAAAGGAAAGTATCAAATATTCAAAATCAATGACTTGGGAGCTCTGCCGGAAGGATGTTCATTGGGAAACGGACTGTGGGAGTCCCCCACAGTACTATAATATGGGTTATACTGCTGGTGGAGCAATGAATGCATTAAGATTCTTTCTCTTGTTTGTATTAGTGGGACACAAGGAGAAAGAAAAAAACAACATTTATGAAACGTAAGCTGTTGTGTGCAGTGACTATAATCCCAGCAGACTAGTATGAGACTAACTTAAAATGATGTCATATTCTAAAATAATGACATCAAGAAAACCGCCTGACATATCTGGATCAACAGCATAGGGAATTAAGGGGATATGGTCTACGGCCATACCACTCTGAACACTCTTAATCACATCCAATAAGAGAATAAGTGGGCTATAACAGAAGAGCGGTTCTTCAAGTAATCGGTTTTCCAGGTTAGGATGAAGATATCCCAAAGACACTTACCTATAGACATTGTACCCTGTAGGGGAAGGATTCAAAACACAAAACCAGGAAGAAGGGCCTTGCAAAGACTTTCCAGGTGCTAATGAAAAGCCTCAAGAGTCAGCAGTGCGATGGTTGTACTAGCTGTGACGGTTTGCATATGTTCAGCCCAGGGCGTGGCACATTAGAGGGTGTGGCCCTATTGGAGTAGGTGTGTCACTGTGGGTGTGGGCTTTAAGACCCTCACTCTAGCTGCCTGGAAGTCAGTATTCTGCTAGCAGCCTTCAGATGAAGATGTAGAACTCTCAGCTTCTCATGCACCATGCCTGCCTGGATGCTGCCATGTTCCTGCCTTGATGATACTGGACTAAACCTCTGAACCTGTAAGCCAGCCTCAACATAAATGTTGTATTTTATAAGGCTTGCCTTGTTCATAGTGTCTGTTCACAACAGTAAAACCCTAACTAAGACATTAAACAATATGCTTTCTCGGTGAAAGCTATTTCTCGTTCTTCTTATCTGTAGGACAAAGTTCAAATCCATTTAACATTCTTTCTCCGGCAGAAAAATTATTAGAGCATTTCCTTGAGAATTTATCCATTCTGAACTGCACCTAACACAGAAACATTTAAAGGAACCAGAGCGGCCGTATGTTACCTGGGAAGATATGCTCTTTTTAAACGTACAGCTTTGTGAAGTTGTTAAGAGCCTACTAGACATAACTAGAACATGATGGTCCAATCACTGCCACCAGTACAAGCATGACATCATTTCTCTCAAACTCTTTTATTAGGGAGCAAACTGCTATAAAGACAGAGGTTGGGGGGTGGGGAGATGGGCGAGATGGCTTTAGCGGTTAAAAGCACTTACTGCTCTTGCAGAGGATCAAGTCCCAACATTCACAGGGATGCTCTCAACTGTCTATAACTGCATTCCAGGAGATCCGACGCCCTCTTCTGGCCTTCACCAGCACTTCACACATGATGCATGTACATACAGGGAAAATGCTCATGCACTTAAATAAAGTCATTTTTATAAAAGCTTTTGGAGGGCAATGAGATGGCCCATGAGGCAATGTCACTTAGCATGCAGGCCTGACCATTCAAGTCAATAGAACCCATGTAAGGGGAGAAGGAGAGAACTAACATCACAAAGCAGTCCTCTGACCTGCATGTGCATGCCCATAATGTGTTCTCACAAACATAACAATATATTAGTTTAATTTTTAAAATATATATATATATGGCTTTTAACATTTTTCATACCTTCTGGTGGTGAGCAAAAACAATAGGAATAAAAAGCTGGAGATAAAGAAAGTTATGCAGCACTTACCCAAAACTCGGGAGGTCTTGGGTTCAACTTCTACTTCTATAAAAACAAAAGTTTTGGTTGGTTTTGTTTTCTCCCTCCTCTTTCTGTTCTGTGGGTATGTCTCTGTCTCTCTGTGTCTCTGTTTCTCTGTATGCACGTGTTCATGGGGGTGGGGTTATCTATGTGCATACATGTGCTTGCATGTGAAGTCAAGATGTCAATATTAAGGTTCTTCCTCAGTGACTCTCCACATGATTTTTTTTTCAAAAGATCACACTTCCTATTGTCAAGTTCATTTAATTTATGTCTGAGATCATTCTGACCTGTAGACTATTCAGAAAGAACTCAAGAAAATATGAATGTAATTTTCAGTCTTTTTGAGTGAAAACTTTATATATATATTTTTATTGGATGTTTTATTTACATTTCATATGTTATCCCCTTACCCCATTCCCCCCACCCCCCGTCCAGGAACCCCCTATCCCATCACCCCTCCTCCTGCTTCTCTGCAGATGTGCCCCTACATAGCCCCCACTCCCACCTCCCCACCCTCAAATTCCCACCCACTGGGGTGTCCAGCCTTCATGAGACCAAGGATCTCTTCTCCCACCTATGCCCGACAGGGCCATCCTCCCTTATATATACAGCTGGAGCCATGGATCCCTCCCTAAGAGTGAAAACTTTCTTAGTTTGACATTTTTGTGTATGTTAGGACTGCAAAGAGCAGTTCATTATAAGTCTTACCTGGTTTGTTGCGTTTTTTGTTAATATATAGATTTTCTTCAAAATCCAGAAGTGTCTGTCTACTGTTGTGTGAAAAATAATAAACACAATTACTACTTTGATACTGATTTTTAAAAACGCATTTTAGTACATTTAGTCCTTAAGATATTACAGGGGCTGGGGGCAGGGGTGTAACTCCATTGGCAGAGTGTTTGCCTAGCACGCACCAAGCCTTGGTTCTGTCTCTACCATCACATATAGCCAGGCACAGTGGTGACACACACCTGTAATCACAGCATTTGGGAGGTGGGGGCAGAAAGATCAGCAGGCCCAAGGTCAACCCTAGAAACACAGTGAACTCAAGGCCACATGAGGTACGTGAGACCCTGCCTCTCAGTAAAGACTATCACTGGAAATAGTAGAGGAACCACTCGACGTTTTTACCTCATGTTTGAAATTTATGAGCTCTGAGTCTTTTAATGAAACGTATAATGAGAGATGAAAAAAGATGAAAGCAAAGGGGGCATGAAATGAGAGAAATAAAGCTTAGGGGATAGACGGGATTTGCTTGACAAGCAGTGATGTCCCCTGATGTCAGAGGATATCCTCCCTCCACAACTAAGACTATTGTGCAAGTTCTTTCCCATAGCTATTGTTATTCATAAATAAATAAATAAGGATTTCACTGCTTGCATCCTGTATGCTTCTTTTTAAGATTTTGTGTGACAGTATTAAAACATGTGCAGGGAGATACCGAAGCCAACACGTATTTCCTGGTGCTGAGCTCTTTTTCAACTCCAAATAAAGGCTAATGTGTATTTCTTTGCACTGTCTAAAATTCAAATATTACAGCTGCTTAGAAAATGTTATAAGCCCTCACTTTTTGGTTATGAGCTGTTCTGTTTTGTGGCTTATAATTCAGAGAAAATGCATTGTTTAACCATTTGAAGCTAAGCGTTTTATCAATATATTACCTGATTCATTAATGACTGCTTACTGTTACTAAAATAATCAGTCCCACTGAGGGCAGAAAGGGAATTCATCCCAACACCTGGCTTCGCTCTCATCTTTATCCTCCCCTGCCTATTTTAAATCATCATAATTATCTCCAAATAACTCTATTTTCTTTTTCCTTTTTGTTTTGTTTTGGTTGGTTGGTTTTTTGAGACAGAGTTTCTCTGTGTAACAGCCTTGGCTAGCCTAGAACTCTCTTCGTAGACCAGGCTGGCCTCAAACTCACAGAAATCCGCTACCTCTGTCTCCCAAGTGCTGCGGCTAAAGGTGTGCACCACCACACCCAGCTACCTCAGCTACCTGATGTGATTTTGTTCTCTTATGTCCTACAGGTCTTTAAATCCAGAGATGTGCTTAGCTGCTTCTTTGTGGGGAAGAATTAAAAAGTCTCTGTAAACCTGAGACCAGGGCTGAAATAACTTGGGAAATTTTTTTTTCCCCCACCCCACCCCCCAACTTGGGAAATTTTTACTGCTATAGACAGAAGGACAGAAAGAGACAGAAACAGGGAGAGGGAAAATGTTACTACTACAGACCGAGAGAGAGAGAGAGAGAGAGAGAGAGAGAGAGAGAGAGAGAGAGAGAGAGGAAGAAGAGAAGAAGAAAGAGAGACAGAGAGAGAGAGAGAGAGAGAGAGAGAGAGAGAGAGAGAGCAGCTCTGGACAGGTTAATACGGTGCATCCCAGCACCTGGGAAAAGATACATAAAGGGTATGATTGGCTTGTGGTACAGATCTAGTATTAATCAATAGAGAAACTTCACGGGGTTTCTGCAACATGATTTGAACTTTTATACAGTTTATATCTGTCAGCAAATATCTCGATGCAAATTGACCAAAAAAAGTCTAAGCTAATAGGTGAGTTCTGTATAAGATACTGAATGGGTGGGAAGGGCCAGATTGCTAACAACGTTTGTGGCAGAAGGCAGGAAGTCCAATTGCCAAAAGATGATGTGTTGCTTTAAGAATAACAGTTGGATTTTACAAAATAAGTCCATGTGAGCTTAAGATATGGTAACTTTCAGGGCTAAGTGTATATTTTACTGAGGACTTAGAGGTCTGGCTTAGTGTGGACAGCGTGGTCGTTAAGATTATCTGGTACTCAATTTCGGGGCATGTTTTAATAGTGATGGAACCAACAGACAAAAAGAATGATGGGCTATCATTCTGCTCGGTCTGATTTTTCTAAAGAAAATTGGCTTCCTTGGATCTAAGAAACCCCTTTGGCTGCTGGAGAATCAAGGAGTAAGGTACAGAAGATAGCTCCCACAGGAAAGTGGGACTGTGTGCTAAAACGGACATTTCAAGACCTGACTGGACACTCGGCTTATTGAAAAGATCAGAAATGGGGTAGATACTATTTAGACCCCATTTCTAGGGGTTATATTTCAGGATAACATGGAAAAATGCTGAGATTCCTAAGGTTAAATATGTCTTTAGATCTCTTAGCTGAGATTTTAGTAAAATGATGGGAGACTCGCCTGAAACATACCAGGCACCGGGTCCAATGCGCAACATCCGCCAAAATAAGCTCAGCATAAGTATTCTGTTCCCAATGCAGTCCCTAGCTATGTTTCTACATTCCTGACTGACTGAGTGGACTAAGTCACTGCCATTCTGAAACTGCCTGCACAGTACAACGTCGCCTCGACAGGATGATGCAATAGCTGTGTTTGCTTTTGAACTTCAAGATAATTTTACTTAATATGTTCATGGAAATACTTACAAAGTACAGTGGCCTTCAATAGCGTAACGTAGTGCTGTCCATCCAAAGACATCCTTGTAGAAGAAATCAATACCTTTCTCAAGGAGTAATATAGCCAGATCTCTTGATCCACATCTTATAGCGTATATCAAGGTGTTTCTAAAACAGCAGATATATAGATTCACTGTTATAAAATGAATGAAATTAGTTAAATCTACATAGATGTGTCCTGACAACTTAATGTCTTGTCTGGCTGTGTACAATTGACCATTTTCTAACCAGACATAGCATCATGGGACCACAGTTGTTCCTCTTTGTTGGGCTATATCCCAAGATAAAGAAGAACACATACAGAAAATCTTTTTGCCCATTGTTTTGTTTGAAGTAGAACCCCTGACTTCATGACCTTTGAAAGAAAATAGCTGTGCTTACGCCATGCATCTGAAGTAGCTGAAGAAGAATTCACATACACTAACCTGTTATATACATATTACATATACATTTCTTAATAAGCTGAAGATTATATAATTCAATGAATGCTTTGAAATAATTCAGTGAATGATTTGAGCAATAGTACTATGAAAACAATAATAAAATTGATGGTGCTTGCAGTTAATGATGTTAACAACTGTGTGCTATACACTAAATAAATGCCATGTAAAGAATCCTATAACCACTTATCAAGGATGTTATCCTCTGTTTCAAATCAGGGGGTATATTTTGCTGTGGGCATCCTTCTGAAGATGATGTGCCTAGCTACTGGGAAAACTGAGAACTACATCCAGTCTTGAATGAATCTAAAGCCTGCTCTCTTATCACTTGCTTATGACTTACCTTCATTAAAGTTTATCCAATTAACACTGTCTTATCCCCCTTCCGTGGCCAAGTAAATATAAATTAATTAAAATAAATCGGGGAGGGTGAAGAACATTTAGTAACAATAAATAAAGTCACGTAAGGATAAGCCGATATCAATATTCTACAAAGAAAAGCAAATTAAAGAGCCATCCCTCATATTACAGTTTTCTAATCCTGGAATATAGTGTCTCCAAGTACGCAAGAAGGAAAACGTGTGGATACTCTAAGATCTCCGCGACCTCGTTAGAGAGGTTTTCCTGCCTAGTGAGCAGTGATTAATGCAGAAACTCACAGACCAAACTGGAGTGCAGGTATTGTTAATTTAAAAATAAAAAGAGAGGACATGAAGTTGGGGTAAAAAGATTGGGGAAGAACAGACAGGAGTTAAGGGGAACAGCTGGGGTTGAGCATGATCGAAATAGGTCACATGAAATTTTCAGAGTTACTGAAAAACTATTTTAAGTAAGATAAATAAGTAAAAAAAAAAAAAAAAAACCTTAAAAATGAGAAAAAAAGGAAATACCTTAAGAGGGTCAAACAGTTTTATTGTGAATTGAACAAATCATACTAAAAGTTCATATATTTTAAAGACAAATGAAACTCATTTATCTCATAAACTCCTCAGTCAGTGCTATAAGGCAATGTGACTGTACATACATTTTGTGTGTGTGTGTGTGTTTGTGTGTGTACACGTGTGTACGCACACGCGCATGAGTGCTATTATTATTATTATTATTATTATTATTATTATTATTATTATTGTTATTTGCATTGCTCACTTCAAACAATTGCTGCTTCCCTAACAGACGAAACTGACACTATGTGTTTGCTTTCACTGTATCCTTGTAAGTTACTCCTCTTCTCCCGCCCACATGTTTCTGAGTTGAGTGACTGTTACCAGTCCAGAATCCCACTAAGGTTACATTTCTTTTGAGTTCAAGTGACTTTACCTTTGCAGCTCATCTGCAACATGTATATCTGCTCCCATTTTTACCAAAAACTCTGCCACCTCCACCCTCTTTTCTCTGAGTGCCAGCAACAGCGGTGTGAAGCCATCCTGCAAAAACGACAAAACCAACTTGTAGTTTAAAAAAAATTAGAGCTGACCCAAAAATCTTACAAAGGACGGTACAAATACAAACATTAAGAAAACTGTAAAATCATGGCGGATAAGTACACTTGGGCCTCAAACAACGTGACCACCTTCTGCATGGGCACCCAAAGGTACAAGGTTCAAGGGAGGCAGGGCTTAATTCTTTGGGAGCAATGTGAAGTTAAGGTTTGTGCAGAAGCCTCCTGAAGCTTAACAGTAGGTTCAAGTCATGGAGGAAACTGAGTGAGTGGAGCCAGGGCCACATTGAGCCCATGTCCCCTGTGTTTTCATTGCTGTTGTGGTGTGTTTTCCAGTAGGTATATATAAGTCAAGTGTGTTTTAGGAATATAAGCCTTCCAAAATGTAATAAAAAGACTCATCCGTCATAGTTAGGCAGGAAGAATCCTGCCTTTGATAATTTATACACCACTTGTGTTCAATTTTTCCAGCATTTACAAAATGATCAATACTAGTCACATAGAAGCTGAAGTTAAATGGTTCCTATCGACTTTGTAGTGTGGTGTGTGTGTGTGTGTGTGTGTGTGTGTGTGTGTGTGTTTACAACTACCAGGCTTTATCAACTGAGCATCATTGGTGACCAAACAGATAACCATTCAAGCAACAAGAAAATTCATGTTTTCTTATGTCCTCACAGAGAAAATTCTGTTTGCATTTGACATTTAAGCATCTGTTAACTTGAAGAATGTACTGATGTGAAACCTTTAAAAAAGAAATCTCTACTTATGAAATCTTTGAAGACCCTCTAAAAGTAGAGAACAATTATTGATAGAAGAAAAGTGGTTCAGTCTATAAGCTAGTAGTCACTATTGATTGTGAGAGATTGCTTTGATTGTCAACTTGACACAACCTGGAATCACCCAGGAAGAGAGTCTCAATGAGGAAGTGTCTACATTGGGCTAGCCTATACAAATGTCTATGGCAGACTGTCTTAATTAATGTGAAAAGAGCTGGGCAGTGGTGGCGTATGCCTTTAATCCCAGCACTTGGGAGGCAGAGGCAGGCAGATTTCTAAGTTCGAGGCCAGCCTTGTCTACAGAGTGAGTTCCAGGACAGCCAGGGCTATACAGAGAAACCCTGTCTCAAAAAACAAAGCAAACAAAAAAAAAAAAACACACAAACAAAAATTAATGTGAAAAGGCTCAGCCTGCTGTGGGCGGCACCATTCCCTAGGCAGACACTTGAACTGTTTAAGAGTAAAAACTTCTCAAGGGGGCATAAACGCACTCATTTCTCTCTGCTTTGAGTACAGATGTTATGACACCAACCTATGACCCAAGCTTCAGCTGTGGTTACTTTCCCAAAAATGATAAACCTAGAATTGTCAACTAAAATAAAGCCCTTTCTCCCTGAAGTTGCCTTTCGGTCTGGATTATTTTCTCACAGCCACAAAAAAAAAAAAAAAAAAAAAAAAAAACACCTTGATAACGCTCCATTTAGCTTCTCAACACAGAAGTAAACGGAGAGTTAAGCTAGCATTACTAGAAAGGAAGTAGCATACACTAGCAGTAAGTAGTAGCTAATCAAATTCTAGTTTCTTTAGAGATGTCAGGATTTTAATCCCAGGAATACTTTTAATTCCAGTTATCTGTTTGTGGTCCCCTTTTAAAAACAGAAGTTGTTTCTGAATCTCAAGGAAATATTTTGAGATGCATGCCCATTACTTATTAGATGTACTGAATCAAACCATGCACGACTGCAGCTGAGAGCCAGAACCTACACAAACAGAACTTCAGACTCGTCTGTATGGGCATGGAAGGGAGTCTCTTCATCATTTGGGTATTTGACTGATAAGAGGTACTCAGTGGCTAAAATCAGGGACCATGCAACTCGGAACGCAACAGAATTTCAATATGTAAAAAAAGCAACATATAAACAATTAAATATTTGACACCCCCCTCCCCACCCCCACCCCACTCATCTCGGTAGCAAGCAATTGTACATTTTAGAGCAGAGCTTGTTTCATTGTTGTTGTTTGTTTTGTTTTGTTTTGTTTTGTTTTACCTAAATGGATATCTCTTCCAGAAAATATACCAGTGAACAGCTCCTTCTTCCCTCTATTTTCCACATAATTAGGGCTTAGTCACCACCAGTCTTACATTTCCAGAATCTTCCTTCAACTGATCCCTAGATATGCTGACAGTCAAGTAGCTTTCTTGTTCAAACAACCACAAATTACTACCTTCGACATGAAGAACCACTGCATCAGCACACATTTACTGATTTTTTTTTTACAATTCTCTTGCTTTACTGTCTCAAGTCCCTAATTTTTTTCATTTCATGTAAGTACTTTTCTTGTCTTTGAGTTTTAGCCTAAAGTCATCTCCACTCCACCACACCTCCTCTTCTTCAGCTGTGGGTTACTTGGCAATCATTTGCCAAAAAGCATCGCGATTTTCATTTTACGTAAGTATTTTTGTTGTCTTGGAGTTTTAACCTAAAGCCATTTCCAAAGTAAATTTTGCTGTCTACTGAGGTTGCTTTACAAGGGGGGGGGGGGGAGGGAACGGTGTGAGAGAGAGAGAAAAAAATGAGAAAATTTTACTATTATCAATTTCAGTGATTTCTCACCTATTTCATATGAAACGTGTCAAAGAAAGTGGTACATCAAATATTTCTGTCAAAGTATGGATGTCAAACTCACAGCTTCTACGGTTAAGTCCTTTCTAAATACCACTTAGGAAACACTTGGGTTTCTCAACACGAAACTTCGATCCCCACCCCTGCCACTGTTAAAACATCTATTCCAGAGACTTTTGAGATGAAAATGCCCGTGAACCTTACCTTGGTTTTTTGTTCGATATCAGCGTTGTATTGAAGCAGTAGGGCCGCCATCTCCTCATGCCCGTTGTACACAGCGTAGTGCAAGGCACTGTTGCCACTTTTATCGATAATGTTCGGATTGGCGCCGTGCTCCAGCAGCACGGTCGCGCATTTCTGCTTCCAGCATTGGACAGACTGCAATTTATAACAAGAAACAGACGGTCGGCTCGAGGAATTCAAGATAAAGGTCCCCGCAGGGTTCGCCAGCAAGCAAGAGGTAAAGGAGGTAGAGTTCTTTCCATTGTAAGAGCTTCAACCCCATCTAGCCCATGCTGAAATCAACGGCTGCCACCTACCTTCATCAGAGGTGTGATGTGGTTCTTGTCTAAGGCGTCGATCTCACACTTATTGTTCACTAGAACAGTCACCACTGGTAGCCGGCCATAGACACAGGCAAAATGCAAAGCCGTCCTGTGGGGATGAGAGGAATTCTTATGACACTGTAGAGCACGGTCACAAAACTCACAATTGTTTGTGTAAAGATAACATTAAATATCATGTCATTCTTCTGTCTTCTAAGCAAATCTTCAGTGTTCTTCTTGTTAAGAAGGACAAGATTCACTCTTACTAAAGAAAAGGGATCCTGTTTGAATTCCTATCTCCGTGTGAGCTGTGCATAGATCACATGATCTCCTTCCTGCTAGGGACCAGCTGTGCCACTGAGCTGTTCATTTGAATCTACCAAGAGCAGCTTGTGTGACTAGAAAAAAGTATGGCCCAAAACAAACAAACAAACAAACAAAACTCAATGGCATTTTTGTACACTTTATCTCCTTTTGCTTTGCTTGACCAGTGTGTGTGTGTGTGTGTGTGTGTGTGTGTGTGTGTGTGTTTTATTGGTCTTTTGCTTTTCCGTTCCATGTTTGTGTTTTTATGAGATTTTTTGTGTGAATTTCTTGGGGTTTTTTGGGGGGAGGTGATATTGTTTACTTGTTTCTTAACCAGAGAAAGGGTTGGAGTCCGTGGCTGGGGATGGGGAGGATCTGAGAGGAGTGTTAGGAGGGGAAAGCTTGATAAGAAAACATATGAACCTTTTTTCTTTCAATTAAAAAAAAAAACAGCATTGCCTTTGAATTAAACTTCCCTTAGAATTAATTCTCCTCTCAGCTAAGTCACTTACTAGGTATCTCTCAGCCTTCCTGTGCCTCAGTTTCCTGGTCGAAACAAAAAGGACAGATAGGCAACTGTCTTGAGAAGCCTGCACACAGTCCTTGGTTGGCCTTCTCTATCTTGGGTATCCAGTGTCCTTTACTAAATGTCTCTATTAATTCCTGGGTTTACATCTGTTTAACTTTCTCCAGAAGAAACCCCAAGTCAGCTTCAAAAACATAGTGTTATGAGAAGCCCGAGGAGGAGAGGTGGGAAGAGGGAGGAAAGAGAAAGGGGGTGGAGGAGGAAGAGGGAAAGGAGGGGAAGGGGCGGACACCAAGGGAGGAAGGGGACAGAAGAAGAAGGGGGAGGTAAAGGAAAAAGATGGAGAAGAAGGAAAGGGGGAGGAGGAGGAAGAGCAGGGGGGAAAAGGGGGGGAAGAGCAGGAAGAGACAAGGGAGGGGAGGAGGAAATGGGAAGGAAGAGCTGTTCAGAAGCACGTGTTTTTTTTTTCCCAACACCAGTACGGAAGATCTCCATTTGTATAGCTGCTAGATCACTAGATCACGGCCTTTTTCTTAACACAGCGCCACAGATTGGTGTGCGTGCGTGCTCTGTGAATAGAACCCGTGGTTGGCAAAAACTCAGATTATATCAAATTCAAAATAAATAGATTCTTTTAGGTTTTTAGATCACAAAAAAAAAAAGAACACGTGGTTCACTTTATTCCCCACCCCCAAACCCCAGTCAATATTAAGTTTCAGTGGAAAGCACAGCTCTCGGCCACAGGGACCTCAGCATTTTGACAACAACAGACACTTGACAGAGCTGTGATTGCCAGCTCTGTTGGGCTAAGCAGAGGAGACTAGAAAGCAGTTAAAAGTTCCTGTTTGGCAGTTCAGGACCCAGAACTGAACTCCCAGGTGTGCTGGTCTGGGGTGTGGAGCCCTAGAAGCACAGGCAGACTCCTCCCCTTGCTGGGTGGGGACGCAGGCTCTCAGAGCGACGTCAGGAAGACAACTATTCTCCCACAGTAGCCTGCCCAGGAAGTAAACAGTTGCCCTCCTTCCTCTATTACCTGTCCTTGCGGTCTCTGTCGTGCACGCTGCACTGTCCAAGCATAATGAGAATCTCTATCTGGGCTGCATCGCCCTCAGCTGCAACCCGGTGGATGTGCCCCAAAGGTCTGTATGTTGTATGATATTTCGGATAGTTTGGATTTTCACCGAAGAAAAACTCAGAGACAGTCATTTGTGGGGCATCGCAGAAACCCAAGGGTGTCTTTTCCTTAGCCCCAAAGATTTTCTTCATGGCAAAGGACATTTGGCCTCAGGTCCCTTCCAAACCTCTCATCTTTTCTGGTCCTCGGGCCCAATATTAGGCCTTAGTAGAAACCGAGCCTCACCAATGCACATTTGCACAGAGGACCTCAGGGCTTAAACGTCTGCCAACCAGGGCCTTATACAGTTGGTAGAGGCACAGTTGCCAAGCAACGCCTCTAAGCACAGTGTGCACGTGCCAGTTTGCACAAGTGAGAAAGGGCATGCTACTGACACCGGTAGCATCTCTGAGGCTATGGATAAAGGTGCTGAGTAGGCATGCGCAAAGCCAGCCTGCAATCCAAACGTCAGTGAGGATTGGATGAAAATTTCTATCATTTCAAGCGTGTAACAGTGAGAAAGACACTGTGCATGTTTAGTCGAAAGCGGAGGGCAAAGTGAGGGCAAAGACCTAGTCACAAAAAAAAAAAAAAAAAAAAAAATTGCTCTGAATATGAACTGCACCTCTGGATTCCTTTATCACTTAACTGGGCCCTGCCAACCTTCACGATCTACCATTTGCCAAGTCTGAGCTTGTATCTCTGTTGCTGTGCTAAAACATTAGCTAAAGCAACATGGGACAGACAAGATTTATTTGGCTAGCAGGCTATACATCATCATCAAGGAACCGAGGCTACCCAAAGAGTCTGGGTCAAGGGTTAGGGATACAGTCAACGTTTAAATGTATGCTACTAAAGTACAAAGCCCTGATCCACGATGAGGCAAAAAAGGGAGACAAAAGCGTTGAGTAATATATATTATTGGAGCTTATACATTAGGACATTAGACTATGAAGACTTCACAGAAGAAAATTTGTAAAATTTCGTGGTTTTTTCTTTAAGATATAAACAGTAGTATCAATAGGAATGTTATCCTGGACCACAAAGTAACATTTATTAACATGAAACTTTTATTACAAGAATTATTTTAAGATGTTTTTATGTTTGTGCTTGCAAAATGCATTACCTCAACCTGCACTCAAAATAAAGGAGTCCGTCGACATGGTTGTATAAGACAGGGCGTGAGCTCCTTTGAAGTTTGAGGGGATTTTTTGACACAGAAAATGCATGAATGACCATTCTGCAGACTTCGAGCCAACTGTCAATTCGGTTTAAATTCAGAACAAGACAACAATCTGTTAAACATGTACAAGAAAAAAGCCTTTAAATATGTATAATTTGTGAGTCCCCTACAGGATAGCACAATAAATAATACAGCGTATTGCTTTTCCAAATACATACATGAGTTGAACTTCACTGTTTCTCTGTAATAGTGCCCCTCAACCATTCTTAACAGTTCTGCTGCATGTGAGAAAAGAAATCAACACATCAAATAATGAAAATGGTAATGATTTGCAGCCACAGAAGAAACATTGAATTGCTAATTTTGAATCATAGAAGGATCTCAAGTTGTTCCTGCATGCAAATCTTTTATCCACTAATAAGACAAAGGGAGAACCTGAGGCACAGCAGTGGGTTAAAGCAAAGAGCCATCACCATGGTGAGAACTGTAAGCACTGGTGACAATCCTCAGCACCCCTGTCTGCCAGACACTTCATTAGTTCTTTTAATTCTATCTGTTAATCCCTCAGCCATGACTCAGTGTGAGGCAAGACTTCATTATGGAAGTTAGGACAGTGACAATCCCAGAGGATACCTGACTTTCCTAATGCCCATCAGAGCTGGTAAGTGGGAGAGCTAGAATTCCAATCTGGATCCACCTACAACTAAGCAAACACTTTGAATCGCCTCAAAAGGCTTTTAGAGCCATGAATACTTTATAGAGTGAGTGTGCTTCAGAGTCCTTTCTGAACTGGGTCAATGTCGGCACCACCTCCATTTTCCTTCCCCTTGGATCCTCTCCTGTGCACAGAGCTGTGGAAGGCAGAGCTGATGAGAAGATGGAGCTGGGCCCTGACATAATGCCAGGGAAGAAACTTCAGCCAGGGGGGTCCGGTCCCAGACAGGCAGACTCTGAACTCAAGGAGAACAGTGGGCACAGGCACAGCTAAGTGTGGTTTTCTCTTTGCACTGCTGGGGATGGAAGCCTAGGGCACACTCTCCATCTGAGCCACACACAGCTTTCACTGGTTTGTTACCCCTGCCATGGCACCACCCAGCAACTTCCAGTGCAGGACATACTCTAGTGGAAATGATTCCCAAGGAAGAGTCTGGGAATTCTGGAACTCCATTCCAGCCTCTTGACTTCTCTCTTTGCAGAGAAAATTTCTGGGGTCTTCAACATACAAATAAATGTACATGAACTGTAAGTCTCCTGATGTTGAAACAATTTCAGCTTCAGTATCATTGTACTAGAACTAGGAACTCTGTGAAATAAAATTTAATTCCACTGCAAGATTTTTTGCTTTGTGTTTGGAAATGAGAAAACTATGCCAAGTCCTGTTGATTTCCTAGGGATTCTATAATAAATCACCACAAATTTGGTGGGTAAATACCAAAAACTGCTATGATTTAAGAGCTCTGAGGCTAAAAGTTCAAAATGCAGGTGTTAGCAAAGCCAGACTTTCCAGTAAGCTCTAACAGAAAATCTTCCTTGTCTTTTCCAGCCCTTGATGACTCCAGGTGTTCTTTTGTCTTACAGTTTCCTAATTCAGATCTCTGCATCTGTAGCTACAGGGCTTTGTCTGTGCCCCAACACCCATGTCTCTCCTCTGTCTCTTCCAAGGAAGGTTGGAGTTGGATTTAGAGCACTGTCCTAAGAAATGCTGCTTCTGCAGATCTGGGGTCTGGCTCAGTCTACTGAATCTTTAAAGCTTAGTGGCTAATCCTGGTACCCATGACCGGCTCTGTTTATCTGGGAAGATTCCTTTTCCAGAGAGCTGGAGAAGGTTTACATGTGGCTCATTCACAGCAGAACTCTGTGATATTATAGACTTGGACATTTCTGGGACATACCTGTCTCTGCCAATTTGTGTATCCTAAAACAAAACTGTGAGAGAGACGCTGAAGTTGTGGTGTGGGTGCTACATTACATGTAAAAACAGCCCAGTAAATACTGGGGTGAATTTTACAGTGTTCTTGGTGTGCTAACAAATGAGGAAATGTGGTCACAGAGGGTGCACATTCATTTTCAAGCTCCCATTGGACATTCACAAAAATTGATCTTTACTTATAATTAAAAAGAACATTTTTAACAAACTATAAAGATTCAGTATACAAAAAGCATCCACTGCCCAAAAATTACTAAATCAAAACTCAGTTCCAAGACCTTCCAAACTTGACTTCCTTGCATATATCAAAGTTCTGGGTTGGTTCACTATTTCTGAAGAGCAGAGAAACAAACCTAATAATGCACATGGATTCAATACTCAAGCCTCACCAGAGTGTGCATACAAGATAATGTTAATCCTAAGGTACTAACTGTGCCAGGTCTAAACCCAAAGTAGTCCCCAGTGAAGCCTCCCCCCAAAGACTCCTTGATCCTAAGAATCTGTCAGTGCCTCAGGCTTCTCTGTTGGATTGGTGAACATGGCTATGTAGGTGAAGGACAGAATGAAGAAAAATGGTGAAATGTCTTTAAAGGACAAAGCAGAAAGAGAGCCCACCCACCTAGAATTTTATTCCCAGCAAAACTGCTTTACAAGCAAAGACAGAGTAATCATTTCCAGTTAGAGGAAATCAGGAAATCCATCATCTACAGCAAACTTGTGCTATAACCAATGGTTAACAGAGTCATCCAGCCTAGCCAAGAGACAAGCAACAGGCCAGTGAGACCCTCACTCAAACACATGGTGGATGGAGCCTGAAGAATGAGGGATACCAGAGATTGTCCCCTGGTGTTCAGATGTACCAGTGAGCACATACATATGCATACACACACAGTATGTTTCTCTCTCTGTCTCTCTCTCTCTGTCTCTCTCTCTCTGTCTCTCTCTGTCTCTCTCTCTCTCTCTGTCTCTCTCTCTCTCTCTCTCTCTCTCTCTCACACACACACACACACACACACACACACACACCTTGACTGCCTAGTTTTAAATATGGGTTTAGGAGACAAATCTTATTTTCTCTTAGAAGGTAATAGTTTGGAAATGTTCACAGAATATTTCATGAATAATGCTGTGTCACGGGTGATTCTTTGTCAACTTGACAAAAGTCAGAGGTATGTGGAAAAAGAAATCCTGACTGAGAAAATGCCTGAACAAATGTGCATATAAAATAAGGTGATTTTAGAACCATTTCTGAATTAACAATTGATGGCGCAAGGAGAACTATGCGAGATCCAGTCTCTATAAGAAAGCAGTATGAGAAAGCCATGGGTAGCAAGCCAGTAAGCAGCATTCCTCCATGACCTCTGCTCTACTTCCTGCCTTGAGCTCCTGCCCTGGCTCCCCTGCATGACAGACTATATGCTCTAAGATGATATGAACAGGTAAAGTCACATTTGTCTTTCTTGCTTTTGGTCTTCTCTGTGTCTTTGCCCTGTCTGTGTCTCTGGGTCTCCATTGCTGTCCTGTTTTGTGTTGAGTGGGTTTTTCCACTGTGAAATTTTAGTGCCCTTGCCACGTGGCCTTTGGAGGATGCTCCAGATTCCAAGCACGCCTCCACCTTCAAGGTGCATAGCTCCATCCTGGGCATAGCATAGCTCCATCCTGGGTATAGCATAGCTCCATCCTGAGCATAGCAAACACCCCGTTACCTCCCAGAGTGCCAGTCCTGTCTCAGGCACAACTTCTGCAGGAAGTCAGCTTGTCTTTCATGCAGTTCACATTGGAGACGCTCACTCTGCTGCAATTTTAGGATAGGTTCTGGGCTCTTGGAGAGTTAGATGTCCTTGGGAGATGGTTAACGAGTCTACTCAGACCCGAGGAATGAGACAAATTATTACTCTTAATAATGATGACTTAGGAGATAATGCTGTAGACTTCATAGTGTGAAGTTTACAACATCTAAATAAAGAAAGCCACAGTGTGTTGCTTCCTATTTGAAACAGTAGAAGCCATGGGAAGCTCAGAAGACAGAAACCTGAAAACATGATTAAAATACA